GATAGATGATAGATATAGATAGATGATAGATAGATAGATAGATAGACAGATAGATAGATAGATAGCATCAATGCAAAAACATAACTCTCACATCAAAGGGAATAAGAGATAGTTTATTGTGGAGCCAAATATAAGTGACCATGGCCCAGGAACACAGATTCAGGTTACCCCAAATTCCATGTTCCAGTGTGGTAACAGTTGCCTTACGTTTTTATAGTAACAGAACAAAGAAAAGTCATAAATCAAGGCACTGTTCAAATATTGGTGGATACATTCAGTAGACAGGTCATAGCAAAGTGGGGGCATTTTTACTGTAGGCCTCAAATGCTATCTGATGGCATTCTTAGCTTTTTGACTGGTAAGACAGGGTGGTCGGCTAAGTTAATACATTTTATTAGTCACAAGAATGTTAATTCAGAAACAGAGATGTTTTGCTATTCATGGGGGTTAGAGATATCCCCCAGATAATCTGTGAATAGACTCTGGATCTGCAACATTCCAGATCCTCCATGATCTCCAGAGTGCTAATCAGTTGATGAGCCTTGCAGGAAGTTCAGTCCAAGGTGCAGGAGTTCTTTTGGGAACTTTTCTTTCACAGCTCCCCATGTTGGCCAAGCATCACATTTTCCGCATGCAGGGGCCACATATGTATTTCCAGGTTATCATTAGGAAGGCTCATTCCTAGAATCTGATGTAGATGAGGCTCAGTTGTAGAAGAGATAGCAGTCTTCAGGAGAGAGGAATAGCTAGCTGGTAGAGCCAATAAGAAAGAAACTCCTGGATCGTATCAAAACTATTATCATGATCCATGGGATCTCACTTTTCTTTTGTCCTCCGTATCTGACTTACTATTTGTGTGTGACATAAAATAGGATGATTATATTAAAATAACCAAAAGTATTGCTTGACCAAATGGAATAAATATAACAGATTAAGGCAACAAACATTAAAATAAAAATGAGATTGACTATGTTTCCCCCTGTATTTACAGTTATCTGTACTCTTATGAACTATTTTGTTTATATTTGGAATATGTAAACAAACCTATTGTTTTCTAATGGTTGGCTTTTCTTTGGATGAGTTAGACCTTATAGCTATAACCTCATGAAGTGGCTAGCTCTAACTCTAGTCATTCTTTTCTGTGGATAATACCTTCATCTGTTTTATTATATTGACATCATACCAGCTTTAGTTTAAAAAAAAAAGAAATATATTATGGAAGAAATTACAAAACAATACAGTACCCTTTAAACTTTCTTCTAACAAGAATGTCTTCATTTACATAACAAATGTTAATAACATTAATAAAAACAAGAGATCAAACCTGTTAGGAAATCGGAATTTTATAGGCCTTAAAGGCTTAACCAACTACTTTTTAAAAAATGATTAGAAATGCAAATTGTCCATTTCCTTAGTAAAATATAGATATTGCTTATTTTTTTGTCACAGCTAACTGTACTATATAGGACAACTTAGATGCTCATTTAATCAAAGAACATTAGTACTTAAACTATAAAATATCACGAATATGTTATCAGAATGATATATTGTATACTTTGGATAAAGAGAATTAACCCAAATCTTTGAGTATTTCTATTTATAGAAAATAAGGTTGTAGTTACTTATTAAACATTGGAGTACATTTTAGGTCTGTTTTAGTCTAATTGGTTGAATTTGGTTAATATATATATATAATGTATATAATATACAAATATATATATATAGTATGTAGGTACACAAATTTGAATTTGAAAATGGGGCTTTTATCCAAATTACACTGAATAATTAGGATATATAAAAGAGAAAAATATATAAAAGAGAAAAATACTTAAATCCTTTAAACATGAAAATAGCTAAGGTAGGGGTGCTGCATTTATAACCAAAATTAGCATTGCTTTATCATTTAGGAATATACTAAGTGAATTATTAGCTAAATATAAAAGGGTTTAAGGAACAAAAATTAAGAGGAACATTCAGTTACTTGGGGGTACTTGATTGTCAATTAATTGAAGATGAATCCCACCCAGCATCTCTGAAGTCCACATTGATGAGTCCTTTAGATGAAGCTGGGCCATGAGACTCTTAAAGTTTATCTCCTTGAATTTCGTAGTACAGGAGTAGGTTACAAGTATCTGAATGCAGCCTTTACTCTCCAGTTTAACGGGGTGTTTGATATGATGGTTCTTTTTTCAGTTGATGAAATCCTCTGAATTTCATAATCCTTTAAAGAATATTTTGCAACTAATTTTGAATTTTTAGTAATCACATTTAAAAGTCCTTGTTTCTCTAAGTAAATTAACATTTAAGA